GAGAGAGAGAGAGAGAGAGAGAGAGAGAGAGAGAGAGAGAGACCCGCTTTCGAAATACATACAACCTATTTTTGTCAGTAGCCTACCGCAATAGCATTTTCACGAAAGTGTCCTTCTTTTCGCCCTTCCTGAATACTCAGTCGATGTTTTTCAGTCACCATTGTGGGTTCTAGTTCGCTATTTTGGTGCGGCAAGTCGAACATAAAACTAAAAGTGGTTGGTCTCGGGTTCATTCATGCAGATTGTAACGGAATGCCTTGTCTTGTAAGCATTCACGTATCGCAAAGAACGACTTCTGGAGCAATAAATATTGGGACTGACTCTGTGGGGTCGTTTTTGTCGGTCTGGTAGCTCAGTCATTGGAACGTATGATCAAATTAGCCGACTTTGGCAGCTTGTAGAAGCTTAACCGGCCGCTCTGAAAGGGCGGCTGCAAGTGCAGCGTAAACAAACTTAACAGTAACAGGAACGGTGGCCTTGGCGAAAATGATTGCTAATGTACCCCGGTACAGAAATGAAAAGGCAGAGTGAAGTGGGAAGTAGGCTTACAGAACAGAGACGGAAAGACTGACTACACACAGCCACACACGCGCGCGCGGATAAGGGGACGCATGTGCGCACAAACGTATTGGTACGCACAAAAGCACACGCAAAATACTCAAAGAAGGGGAGGGAGGGAGAGAGAGGGGGGGGGGGTTCGTTGTATGTGTGCACTATCCAAACCCAAAGACCTTGGTTTGATTAAAGTTCTTATATCCAAACCCCAAGCTTGAAATACTAGAGCTACAATTATTTTTTCAATTCAAGCCGTTTGTTACTGGAGGTTTTTTTGGTTGTTTTTGTGGGTTTTTTGGTTATCGTCGTCATGGCCGTCAGCGTCATTTCTGTTCTTTTGAAATTGTATGCAAAGTATGGTGAATTATTATTGGGCGTTTGAGTGGGTGGTTGGTGGGTGCTCTGGAGTGGTTTGCTCATTCTTTTTCATCATACATCTATCGTCAGCTCTCCCTTCTTTTCTTTGTCGTATGTTACTCTTTCAGTAATACCTCTGAACTTCGGTGTTTTAAATGATGAAATTGCTTTGCAAGTGCTGTAAAACATCTACAAAGCATTAAAACTGAAACTAAACTGGGTGTTTATTGCTTTTGATTGTGTTTCCCCAGAGTACGGCTTTATTTACTTTATGCCTCAAGGGACTGTCACCCTTTACGTCACCCATTAAACAGTGACGGTTGGATTTGTTCATTGCACTCCGCTCAGAACGTGCATACAATATTATTATATGATGTATTTGCACTGTAAAAATATCTCCTGGTTTCACGAAAAAGTTCCATGAGGCTTTTTGTCGGTATTCCCTCTGCCACCAAGTTGTTTACACATTGATATGATGGTGCTTATACAATGGATCGATGGTCATGGTTCTGTTACTGTTACATACTATGCGGAATCAGAATATATATATATATA